TGACGTCCACGGAGTCGCTCTCCCTCCCTCACCAACAGAAGCCTGAGCTGACAAGCATCCTGGCCCAACCACAGAAGACTGTCTGTCTACCAATATCATCGTCTGTTCCTGACGACCCCTCGAATCCATACCAGGACCATGCTAGTAACAGTCAACCAAGATCAAACCAAACGACTCTGTTGATCTGGATGCTCGGCTGGCATTACTTGACGGCCAATATGACTTTACCCTTCAAAGGGAGCGATCCATTAGTTCCCCGGCTAAGCCTCCTGCTTCCCTTTGATGACGGGCGGAAGAGAGTAGGATGCACTTGCCCTGGTGTCATTCTACGGTCTTTAGTCCGAGGTACATTGTGGTCCGACCGTCCTCAGGTACACCGGTACATGGCCCCCAATCCTGACATCCAAGTCGGTCGACATGCGACATCAGACACACACACACACACACACACACTCGCGCGCGCGCTCGCACACAATTAATCGCAGCAGCGCCCGAAGACGTCGCAAATGCCGGCCCATGAATCGTTTGGTTTGGAGTGCACGGCCGCAAAAACTCCGCATCGCCCAGGGCTAAGTGAAAAGCCTGGAATTGCTCTCGATCATCGACCGAACATTCGTAACAGGGCCATCCCTCAATCGCCGTACGACATGTCTCCAGTGATTGGCGCATTGTCATCTAGACCAGAAGGATGCATGCAAGGCGTTGATGCATCGCCAGCGCTGTCATTCCGACATCCGAGCCTTACGTGCTTCGGATGGCATTTCGAGGCTACACTTGGCAGTACGGAATTCTGTACATGGGATTCCTCGAGAAGTCATATTGCCTTACCGAATTTGCACCATTTTGTCTCCGATTGTCCAGCCTGTGACAGTTTTGCCACTGCTGCATTTCAGTGTTGCGTCTAAACGCCTAAACTCTGCCCTGCCAGGACGGCATGCCCTGGCTAAGGTGAATGAATGCCTGGCTTGCCTGGGTGAGGCAAAAGGATACAGTGCCACGGACCATGAGACTTTGCTGCACGCCCACTCTTTTCCCATGCACAAGAAACCAACATCTGATATCGCGCGCTGACTCAACAGGGGGACGCCAATATCAATCGCTTAGCGAGCCAATCACGACAGTATGACGTTGGAGAAACCCACCCTGACGTCCCAGATCGGTTCAAGGGCGAGGTTCATCCCTGCTTGCGGGGGCGGGCGCTGGACGGGCGACTCAGTTTTAGCATTTTCTGATTGTTTTTTTTTCTCCTTTGTTCTTTCCTCAGATGACCTGCACGAAATTTGACGACCACCATGGCTTAGTCATCCGCCAACTCCTGATATCACGACTGATTATCACCAGAATGATATCTTCACGAAATGTAGTTTAAGTTGAGCTCACGTCGTGTACCTTTCTCAGAAATAAATTTCATATCAGGGCTCGTTGAGAAAGTAGAGAATGACAAGCAGAAATCACAACGAACTTGCGCGAACATCGAGTCTTGAGCATGATGATAATGAGAAATGAGATGGATAAAGGAGATGGAAGTCGCTTTGCACGCTTAGGTGACGTCAAAGACTGATTTTAAAGAGGATCTCGTGATCCCGGCAGCTTTGGCAGAATAGATTGAATATTCTTTTCACATTACCAACATGATTTTATCAAGAAGATGATTGAACCAGTCCCGCCAAGCTTATCTGTCTAGTTCCTTCCGTGGCACGCCTATTGGAGATTGTTTGAGAGGCTCCCATTTGTGACTCCATCAAGAATGACCAGTCAGCTCAGTATACAACGTTGATCACGGGTGAATATCAAGCCAGAGGTGACGATGAGACCTACAGCAGACCTGCCATCTCTAAGGTAGATTCTCTTCGGCCATTCATACAATTATGAAAAGAGTCTAGAGGGTTACTACCCCCAGCATTGTTGAGACACTGCACAGAAATCATGTTGAAGTTCCAACATACGCGAGCAAGAAAGAAAAAAAGTTCCTCTCAACCTGTTCTGAGTATCATGAACTATCGGCCACCAAGGACTGCTAGATACCAGCATTCAGAGAAACTGATTATACTTCCCTCGGTTGATCATCATAATTATGCTCATGTAAACCACCTCTTTCCTGCATCTAAAATAAAGCAGGCGCAATCCAGATGGAGTAGCTGTTATCCGTAGGCCAGATCGATAAGATCAGGCTGACAGTGATTTTCGCATACCCAAATAATTCACGTTTCTGCCTGAAAATACTGAATTAGTCTGCTTGTTCTCCATGTCATTGCCAAATGCCCCTTTATTAATGATTTAGATGCAGATATTTACCGCAACTGTAACAGACAACTGGACATCAACATGAAGTTTCATATGAAAACTAGAGTTTAAAGGTACGAGACATTGCAATGTTGCGATATAGGCACTCGTGATGGCTGGTGGTGTACCTAGACACGGAAAGTAGCATGCTGGAGACACAATTGACATTGGCCTTTTGTGAGTTCTCTTCGTCTTGAGCGAAATGGCTCCGGGAAACCACACACACAAAACTACAAGTGATTATTGCATATGAGATTGGCCAGATGCCGCTCTACATTCAACAACTTCCGCAAGACATAGCCTGGAGCCTGAATTCATGGTGGGCTTGCACCTTGAAGCTCACAATCTGTACCCATGCTCACGGGGTTCTCTTTGAAACCGCTGTTGCGTTCATTTAATTGGGGTGGTTCGTTTGAACAGCATTTTCGGAATCGTCCACGATGGCAAGAAGAACCTCCTGGCTCATACCGAAACGACTGATGTTCTCTGTACTCAGTCGCCTGGGTCTGTATTCATCATTCGGAGAGCTGGACTCGTGTATCTTATGCAGTTGACGTTCCTTGGGCTTGTGGCACGGGACTGAGCAGCTCGTATCTACAAGACACTGCTTCGCTTAAGACGTCATATGCTCCGTTAGAACGGAGAGCGGGATTCGGTTTCGGAGAGATTAAGTCTGTGTCGGGATTGCGGTCCCATCTAACGTCTTCTCTTCGAGCTGCTTCATCTGCTTCTGACCATACCTCTTCAGCTTCTTTCCAAACTCAAAGAAGCAATGGCCACAGACGAGAATCACCCCTAGACTCCCAAATTCTCCAAAGTCTAGGAGACATGCCTGCCAGACATGGCTTTAAGGTCTACCGACTACGTAGACAACACCCCTTCTTCTTTAAGAGGTTCCTTCACAGCTCTGAGGTGGAGCGGGCATATGGAGCCTAGTTTGCTGCGAGGACAGTGATCTTCTACTTCGTAAGGTGGACGTGTAACAACCCGTGTACGTCTAGGAAAGTGGGATGAGCTTTATGAGGCCAACAGCTTCTCAGGAGATTTCCCACCTCTTATTCTAGAGTCCAAGGGGCTCTTCTCTTGAAAAGCAGAAAGATTCAGGGGACATCACCAAGATCAGCCATTGTCATTGCAAATTTCTTGTGCATATCTCTTTCTATCGATGAGATGGTGTCACGGTTCAACTCGGAGAGATGATTACTAGAGCATCGTAGTCCGGCAATGATTTAGTACGAAACCACTTGGGCATCGTCGGACTTTCGACTCTGGGTTCCCAGTCTCTCTCTCTCTCTCTCTCTCTCTCTCTCTCTCTCTCTCTCTCTCTCTCTCTCTCTAGTCAGACCAGAAATACCGTGCCCTGTAGCTCGCTCGCTCGATCCCATGAGAACACGTCGTACGCAGTCAAGCATACATACTGACAATAATGGCACATTCTCTTTGGTTTTGGCATGGCGAGGCCTCGCACAGAGCTTCACAGGATTGCTAGCCAGTCATGGAGTTGATGAGGGAGAGCTCAAAGTAGCTCACGGCTCTTACTGATGTGAGCACGATTCCTGGCGTAATTCACAGTTCTGGTTTCGCGGGAGTGCAGATCCAGCATCGACCAAGTCTGTAAATTACGAAGACATCAAAGTCAACTTACAAGACTGACCTCGGACACGACAATTCAATCTCGTTATTCGACCTGTAATGGTGGTTCAAGACCGATGTGGTTTCACAAACAGTGAGACTGAGATACAATCTGGCTACGGGTTGAGCAGGTTTCTTGTAGATCACATTCAATCAAACCATATCTATATGCAATACGGAAGCACGCAAAGAGCTCATAGGTAAGACATAATCCGAATTCAATTTCATGGTACAGACATCTATGTACTACTATCCCGCCAGAGCCAAGTCGGATAACGAGAATATCACAGCTACTAGGGCCTCGGCGTGGTTGCTCTCGGGCCAGATTGGCAATTTAGGCCATGCCATGGAAAACAGGACTCTGAGCTAGTCGACCCCTTTGTTGCCCATCAAGCCCATGGTTGCGGCCACAGCTCTCGGGAGCTGGTCGCGTTGTCTTCGATGGTGGCGTCAGAGTCTACCGGTGTCGCAGATCCCCAGGCCGTCACCAGCCTCGCGCCAGCTCAGTGTCTGACCTTTTCTCGAGCCAGACATGCCGAGAAACGATGCTGGATTATCCGCGTTCATGCACCGCCCGAAGCTATTTGCATCCGGCTATGTGCATCGCGTTGGGCGTAGTCTGGATGGTCAACTTTCCCGAACCAACCTCAACGGTGCGTTCCAGCACTGTTGGGGTGGGTTTCCCGAACGTTAGACTTTAGCCAGAACGCAGCGTACGCAAGAGTCAAGGCAAGCCTGCGGAGATGCACAACAATCCAAGCTTTCCATTGAGCTTGCAGAATTGGGCAAACGTATTTGCATGCAGAATCGCTTCTAGACCAACCCTCAGAGCCCCAAGCGATGCTCGCTCTCAACACTCCGAATCGACAGTAGCCGAGATGTGAAAACAGTTCGATATTACCGCAAATGTAGAACTACACTGGTATGACGACAATGCGAAAAATTCGACGCTGGCCGTCTGGTTCGTAGAGACCCAGGCTGACTCGCAGCATTTGGGAGAAACAGGCTTTGTGGGCCGAAAAGATGTTATCTCGCAGATGGATCTTGCAGATCCGTGTTTGACACAGAGACCCACGTGGATCTTATCAAGTCTTCGTTCGCCTCTTCTTCACTTTCAAAAGAGCCTCGACTTCTTTCGCACCCCTTTCCCGTAGTGACAATTCTTTCATCATATCGACCCACTGAATGTGGCCCCCACATTGTGGGCAACGGCCCTGAATAGGGACGACCACTTCTCGATCCTCTTCATGGTGGAGCATATGACGACTCCAGCATGAAAGATGCCCAACAGCCTCACAGGACTCGTTTGGACACACGGCGTGTAATCCCTGACCTTGAGGTAGTGCCTCTTTGCAGACTACACAGCTGCCCTCTCTTTCAAAGGCGATGACGGACTGTGCTTTTTCAATGTATGGCTTCATGTGCGTGTAGTCCACAGGCAAGGCATGGATGCCCCAAGCGACGTCGTCTGAAGATGCGGCGGGGTCGGGGCCGAAGTCGGTGACTATGTTGAGGGTGTTTCGCAGAGGCTCGGTTGACTTGGTAGAGGAGGAAACCCATGCTTTGTGTACATCCTTTGCAAAGAAGTGTAGTGTAAGCGGCCACCGACGGAAGCTCGGTACTCCTAGCAGGAGCTGTAGATTGGACAATATCGAGGAGAGGCTAGCACGAGGTCGGCGGGGACGTCCATTCTTCTTTACTCCGTTTGAGACGGTGATGCGAGACGTGGAGGGTATATGCAGAGACAAATGTGGGTTCGTCAACGCCCATCTGTTGTTCCTTTGTCAGCGTATGGTTGAGAAGGTTGATGTTGATACAGAATGTGATATCAAATCAAATCAAATCAAATCGAAATGGTGCAATATGCAAAATCTAGACATGCAGGAGAACCTGAGCATGTGCAAGCTAGGGGGGTGGTGGGGAGGAGGAGCGGGGAAACATCATCTGAAGCAGAGCACCTTGCTTGAGAGCATGCTTGAAAGCATGGTAAGAGGGAAACAGCCTCAAGGTCAAGGTGGATCGTGAACGGGACGGAGATCATACTCAAACTTTAGAGCAGCAACCATGCCCGGGAAGCCGGATACCAGCCCCACCATCTCCCAGGGCCGTAGGCTTAGACGAGAAGTGCGAACAGCGCCGCCGCGGGCCTCGCCATTGTGCTGCTTCAGACGGCGCGGGGGGTTGGGCGTCGAGCCGATGTAGAGAGACGCGTGGCGTACGGTGGAACGGAGGATGTACACCGTGTAGAGGGCGGGGATGGGCTTGGACTGGACAGGCATGACTCGGCAGGGGACGGTGGACGAAGTCAGGACATGTTGTTCTGCGACGTGTTTTGGGATGGAGGGACGAGAGAGAGCGGTGCAGACTCGAGACTCAGTGCTTGTGCTGGCCGCCGGGCAGTCTAGACTCGTCTTTTGCTTATGGGCGCATACGTGGACTCGGGTTTGAGCGTGTGTCGGGGCGGTCGGGGTTGGGTCTGTGACTGAGTTTGTCCAGATAGATGGGTGTCGGACCACAGGGCGAACACTGGAGGGAGAGAGAAGGATAGGTATGGGTGACAGGCCGGGCCAGGCCAGGCCAGGCTTGGGCGATGCTTGAACGCCTGTGCTATTGTTGGTGAACTTTGGCGTCAGTTGTGGTGGTTCCGGGTGCTGCTGGCAATGCACCGCGGGGCGATGATACTGGACGGCGCCGCAGCGGCCAGGTGAGAGAGCGGTGTGTGAGGCGAGGCGAGGCGAGTTGCGTTCCAGGTCTGGATTCGGCTCCAAGGTTGGTTGAATTCTTGGAGGCTAACCGTAGAGAGCGATGTCGGCCGAGGGGTCGGAGACTCGGGTAACTGCAGGCTGTTGATTGAGAGCGTGGGAGAGGGCGTGGGAGCGTGGGATGGTCGCGGAGTTTGAGTAAAGTGAATCCCAAGTTTGGGGGGGGAGACGGAATTTTTTTGGCGTCAGGGTGACATTCGGCCAGGGACCGACAAATTGGATCTGGTCAGGTGAGAGCACGAGGCCAGGTCGGGGGGGTTAAGAATGCAACGCAGGTCACGGTGAGACGAATTGACGTGGGTGGTGGGAGTGCAGCAGTAGCGGCAGCAGCCACAGGTTACTCCAGGTTAAAAGTTGCAGTGAAGCACCGTAAACTGTAGCACGAGGGTGCAGGGAAGTTGGCGCAGAATGGAAGGGAGTGAGAGATGAAGGTGAGTCAAGAGATGGAAAGGGAATCGAGATTGGCCACGGGGGACGGGATGTTGTCACGACTCACGGAGGAAACAAGCAATGTACACGGAAAGTGTCGAAAGTGTCAAAAATTTGAGGGGGCCTACCTAGAACAATAATGTGGGACCCAATATTGATTCACTTTGGAAATCTGGATCAAATCTGTGTGTAAATTGGATGGCTGACGGCTGCATTGAAAATAGAAATGTTCGGTCGGGAGTTGAGGAGAGGCTAGTCCTGTTTGGGACACGGGGAAGGCTGTGGCTGCTCACCTGCTCTCACCTTGGGGCCTCACCTCACCTTCTTCACCTTGCTTTTTTTTTTTTTTTTTTTCCCAGTCATGTTTTTCTTGTCGGGGGATGCCAGGATGGGAGGCTTGGGCTTCCATGGGAAGGCGTGAAGGGCCAGCCGGTGACGGGAGCAGGGGGTAAGACACCGGGGAAGCTGACCCCAAGTCTTCCGCCTCGTGGTTCCTTCCGGTTGGCGGTTGGCGGTTGCACTTGCACCTCGCACCTGCACTTTTTCGCACTTTCTGCTCCTGCCTCCTGCCGCCAGTAGGTACCAGTGAGTGCCTGCCGTTCCTGCTGTTCCTGACGATGCCTCCTGCCCTCCTGCCTCCAAAGGGAGGTACCTGTTGTCTCGTACCGTTCGTGCCTTCCCCCCAGCTGAAGCATCGTCGCCCGGCTTCGTCCCTCGTCCCCCCCCGGCTACCGGACCCTCCACCCGCCAAGGGCCCCAACATTCCCCCATGTTTTTCAATTTTAGATTCCCGTGTCGCAACATTTCGTCCCGTGATGTGCAAAAAAATGCCACCCTCGTCAGCTGTGTAGCTCGGGGGGTGAAGCTGTCCACGATGTACTTCGTACCTTACCTTACCACCTTACCGCCTTACGCAGAGCTTCCCCAGCTTCCCGCCAGCTTGGGGTCACGACACACCGACACCAGCACCGACACCGACCGCGGAACTCAGCCAATGCTGCACTCCGCAACCGCAATCGTGGACCTCCAAGCTCCCAAGCTTCCGTCTAATTAACCACCTGCATGCACTCAGAACTACTCAAGCGGATGCGTGCCTGACGATACCGGTTTCAACATGAGCAAACCCCCTTCATACCGCTATTTACTTGTTATTACTCACAGAACCACCAATCTTCTGCCTGGGCACGCCTGGCTACCAAGTGTCACTCGAGAGACCAAATGCCTTCTCAGATTGCCAAGGTGTACAAATGAAATGGGAATCGAGACGAATCGAGGGCACGAGATCTCACTGATGCTGACAAGAGCATAGATCACCTGCCATTACGAAGAGTGACGCATCCTACGTTGATTACCGAGCCACATTCGTATACTGTGGATTTCAGGTACTCACGTAGCCATCAGGACCTCGTTGGCTGTGCCAATTAGTACCTCGCACAACACTCGGCCATACCCAAGAGCTGCATCAGTGCAGTGACACAGCCTGTGCGACAGAAGAGAAATCGAGCAGTTGATTGACCGACCTGCGACTGTCGGCTGCAGTTGTGCAGCTCCAGAGGTCAAGGAGCCACGCACCCCAGATGCCCGAGCAAAGATTCCCTGCTTCAACAAAAAACCAAAAGGCACCGATGGAGGCTTCCAGATACATGGAGTGAAGCACTGGAGCTGGCGCTAGAGCCGTACGGAGACAAACTACGTACGGAGTGTCCTGTTCAGTCGTTCCCAGCGCACATCAGTTCGCCTCCTGCCCTACGACTCGAGACATAATCGCCGCTCAATCCGCATCCGCCGTCACAGATCCACAGAATGCCCATCAATTGGCGTCTTCGATTGGCACACAATGCCCGTGGCACGCGTGGGTTGACGCTGGTCCCTCTGCTCTCGCTGATCCGATGAGGTCTGCCACGTTCGCCTATTTCCGACTCGGGAGCGAGCAACAGTAATACACAGTCACACAGTATGCTGGATCACCAGTGCCATTCCTCGCACCCCACGTTTTCGACTGTGCCTTCGAGAGTCTTGACCGAGTTTCCGAGACATGAAAAAGCTTCCTCCCCCTTGTGCTCCGCTGCTGCGAGCGAGCAGGCCTTCTGTGTGAGTAATGCATGCGCGAGTGTAGACCACAGCTGCAGCCAAGCATTGAAGCATCCAAGCCATCAGGCTCACTGCTTCGAAGCTATGAGAGCCGAACAAACAGCCACCAAACAACACTCGTCAGCTTGTTTCCCTGGCAAAAGCCCATCGACTGTACGGCCAGAGAGCCATCAGCTTCCTCAACTGACTGGCGTAACGCTTGCGGCTTTACGGCTTTGGGCCTGCCGACCACGGCGTTGGAGGCGCTGGGATGGCTTGGGTAGTGGAATACGGGTTACGGCGTGCGGTGTGCGGCGTGCGGCTTGCTACCCACACCTCATCTCTAACTTTGGAAGTTAATCAGTCAACAACCCACCCTCTGAACACTTCAGATCACCCGCCTATTCGCACCGTTAAGGCAGTCAGCCTGCAGTTGGTGTACAGCACTGCAGCACACCATTGTGGCAGTTGATAGCCGAACCCGATTGATTCAGAGACGACGCGGCAGCAAAGGAAGCACCAGACAAGCACACCACCCTTCGAACGGGCAATTACCTGCAGTTGCGTGACAATAGAGGCCGGATGCTCTCTAAGCTCCCCGTGCGCCGAAGACGTCTTATCATGCTGAAATACCACCAGGCCACCTGGGCAGGCAGGCAACGGATGCAGACACATGTATCCGGCCCTTCGGTGGCAGCGACATGCCAGCCAACCAATTCACCACCTGGACACACCGATGGTCACTGAGGGTGTCCTTGTGGATTGCAAAGAAAGCCAGTCAGCACTCGCAACCTAGAGGGGTGTGGGCGCGTACCTGGGCCGGAGGAGGGGACCCCTATAATGGGATTTGGGAGCGCCTCCAAATACGGTCCATCCTTGCCGATCCCTACCTTAGGCCAAGGGTTCCAAGGTCAATCATGGAGCACACTGGATCTGGCTGGAGAAGGACTTGTCACCATCGCTATTCGAGACGCCAAAATTCCCTGTCCTAGACCTGCGATCCAGAAGCCGCACGCAGATGACCTTCCCTCCTGGGTTACCCTCAGTCTCTGTTGGTCTCTGTCGATTGCTGGGCACACAGAACAGCTTGGGACTAGGCATCGTTTTGTCTATCTAGAAGCTGTCGACGCGCCGAGAGGGAACGACTTAGCACCAGGAGTGATCTAGACCGCAGTCTACTGTCCACGGCCGCTGCACGTTCTATGGCGATAGACCGACAGACCGACAGACCGATAGGCCACCCTCCACCAGCATTCAGTAGGTACACAGTTCGGCCCCCCTCAACCATGCACGTTTACCCTAGGAGAGGAGACGACCCGTGGGGGTGGATGAAGCAGGCGGCAGGCGGATAAGGTGAGTGTGCCGTCGCACTAAGAAAAATCTTTTTTTCCTTCCATGAAATGGTGGGTGGAGGTGCCGTGATTATTCTGGACCCGGGTGACTGCCCCCCCTGGCTCACTGAAAGTTGAAACTAGGAAGAGTTGGAGCGAACTCATTTGCCTCACCGCCGCCGCGCTCGACCCGTGGCACGCATAGCTAGCTTTGTTACGAATAGTAAGAGTCGAAGTAAGGTGAGCGTGGTGAGATGGTGGCAGCTGCTAAAGTCCTATTTCCAGCCCTCGAGGCCCTCGATGCCCAGCCGGCACATCCACCTGTCCGTCCGTCTGTGTGTGATCTGAGCGAGAGGAGTCAAGAGTCAAGACTATAGAGAGAGACGTATCATTTCTATTTCCCGCGAGACTGTCCCTCGTCTCGTCTTGTCAAACACCATCTGAGATGAATCTCTACTTAAAATACTGTGTTCGAATAGTGAACACGAATATGAGTACGTACCTTGCCACCCCTGCTGCTCGCTGCCAAGTCCGGCTCGCACATCCCGCTGCAATCAGAAGTCTGGACTCTTTTCGTCTTTGCTTCCCTTCCACTCACTGGAACGGTTTGGGAGAAAACCGCTGAAGGGACTTGGGTGATCCGTGTGCCACACACACACACACACACCGAGAAAGACGAGAGAGAACGAGAGAGGAACAGTGTGACAGTGACAGGCACACAGGTTACCAGTGAGAGAGTCGGAAGTAAAAGTGCCAGTTGCTGCTAATAAGCTTGCTTCTTAGGGGGGTGGGGGGGTGGTGATACCTCACCTTTATGTACTGTGTATGCAGAGTGGTGGGGGTCCCGGTCTTCTCACATCAACACGCCCCCACCACTTCCATCACACACCACCCACTTCCTCCCACGCCACGCCACGCCCCCTGCCCTGCGGTCTGCGGCTTGCCCTTGAGGTGGTTGTCTTGGCTTTTTATTCCAAGGTACCGCCTGAAAGTGCCCGACTGCCCGTTAAAGAAGCGTTGCTCCTCCGACTCAGCTTGCCTCGATTCTGTCACTCTCACTCCGACAACCAACTCGACCTACTTCGACATCGATTCGAGACCATCGATTACGCCCATCTCAGACACCTCAACCGGCTTTTGTCTAGACAAGAATTCCACCCTGATGACTGGAATCTCGTGCTAGACGCTTTCTCCACAACCTTCGATCGGGCATATATCACCTAATGACCATTATCGACCTGGTTCTTCTTCGACAGCCTCTGCAAGCTGTCACATAAAGAAGTCAACTTCGACGACGTGAACCCGCCGAAGACTATCTCATCGCAGCAACTTTTGGACAGAGATTCATTCTCTCAATCCTCACACGCACACACAACAACACAATGATCCCCAGAGGTCTCACTTCCGCCTTCGGGACCCCGTCCCTCGAGATCGGCCAGATCCTGCTCGGCAATGCCAGCCGATACACCATCCAGAAGAAGATCCGTGAGGGCGTTTGGATCGCAACGTAAGCTTACTATAATCAAGCATCGTTCAGAGAGAAGCATTATACTAACGGCATCAACAGTAACCCCATGGGCAACAAGTCCATCGTCAAGGGTGTTCAGGGCATCTCCGGAGCCCAGAACGAGCACAACGTCCTCCGCAAGTTCCAGGGCAACCCTTTCCTCCGCCCCGTTATCGACGAGATCCAGCAAGATGCCCCGATGATTGTGCTCCAGCACATGGACGACCATCTTTTGAACGCTACCATCAAGAAGCCCTTGACCAACCGCGAGATTCGCTTCGTAGCCCGCGCTGTTCTTCGCGGCCTCTCCACCCTCCACAAGGATGGGTACGTTCACACCGATATCAAGCCGGACAACATTCTCGTCAACTACGCCTCGGCTTCTGAAGCCGACCCCGATCTTCGATTCTCCGACGTTCAGATCGGTGACCTGGGGGCTTCCTACTCCGTTGACTCTGACGTCGCCACCAAGGGTTTCCTCATCGGCGCTCCCATCTGGACCAGCCCTGAAGTGCTCATGGAGGTTCCCTGGGGAACTGCCAGCGATATCTGGGCCTTTGGCTCCATGATGATTGCTCTTCTCCACGGTGGCGACTACAACCCCTTCCGCCCTACCAATGCTCGCTATCACGACCGCAGCTACATCTTTGAGGTCCTCCGCCAACAGTCTCGACGCTTCGGTGCCATCCCCGAAACCTACCTTGAGCGGGCGCGTCCCGGCAAGGCTATGGCTGCCAAGGCACTGACTGTTGGCCGCAAGGTTGAGCCTCTCGACTTCCGCACCGCTTCTCACTTCATCAACCGCATCATGCGCATGGACGCCGCCGAGCGCCCTACCGCCGACCAGCTTCTCGAGGAGATGTCTGGTCTCTTCGAGGACTAGATTCTAAGACCCTCGACGATCATTCACGATTATTGGAGACGCATGACAGACATCCCCACAAGGGATAATCGACGATTTTGTTTTTTCGTGTACCGGCAGACGGACACCAGCATTATACACACCAGGGGAAGAATTACAGGACAGAACTTAATGAGGATGAAAAGCGGCGAAAGCCATTGAGCTCCATTTCCTTTGTGTATTTGGGGCACCTGGATACTACAGGCGGGGTTTTTTGTCATTTTCAGCAACGGCATTTGGATATCGCCTAAACGGAATTACTCAGGGATTTGGGTCACACGGTCAACATGGAAAAAAGATCGCAAAGGGAAGACAGAAAAGTTACACGGGGCAACTAGGGGAAAGCGAATGTTTTCGGAGCGATGAAAAGAAACCACCCAGGCGGTACTGTACAAAGAGATAGATGCCTTAGAATGGGCCATACCACATAGACTAACAACCCATATATACAGTGGCCTCCAAGGATGGCTCACTTTGAAACCATACACACATCCTCCGCTTGCATCAGTGATTCTCTGCTGATCAAATCTGTTTCACAATCCTTGATCTTTATCTCAGTAGATAGGTCCGCAAAGGCCGTTTTGGGAGGATAGGTCAAGCGCTGCAAGCATAGTATTGCCTGTACGGTAGCTTCTGGCGTGAGGTCTGAAGATGATGTTTAGCATACCATGACACGCAGATTGTGCAAGTTCCAAGTCAATGAATGCAACCGTCTTTAGCAAGCAAGTCTCTAGTTCCGCTGATATTGGGGATATTTGGATGGGTATCCACGTTTGTTGCGCACTTGTCTCGAAGAGTTTGCCAAACCAAGGCTCAGGCCGCCATCAAGAATCGTTGTTCACGAGGTTCCTCAAGGATATCATTTCTATGACTGTCATCACCGCAATACGATTATCCCCCATCCAAGTAAACCTCGATGTAAGTCTTTTTGATTTCTACAATTTACAATCTCCGTAGCGCGTCTTGGCATCAACGCGTCTCCATGTCCTTTGAAATACTTGTACACCACGCCGGACCATCTGATCTCCTTTGCCCCTTTTACTTCCTTCTTCAGAGACCCCATATTTATAAAAGACCCTGCTTCTGCAAATCGTAGTACACCTTCTCAGGCATGACATTTCCCTCGGCGTCCTCCATCTGCACCACGCTCCCCTCGTCGACCTTGGTCTTCTTGGCCTCCCGCTGGATCTTGTCCCACAGGTTCACCGCCTCCTCGATGCTCGTGATGTCACGGAACAGACTGGTGTTCGTAATACCGAGACACCGCAACCCGTGAACGTGCCGCGCCTCATTAAAGTGCTTGTCAAACGCCCGCCGGCCCATGTAGACAAAGTTGCCGCAAATCTCGCAGGGGAACTCGACGCCCAGCCCGTGCAGACGGTACAGCCAAAAGGGAATCGGCTTGCCGTCCCACGCGAGCGGCAGTTTGAGCGGGTTGTAAATCTTCTCCTCGCCGTCCTCACCGTCCTCGTCGTCGTCTTCGCCGTCCGCGCCGCCGCCGTTGTGGTGCGCTACGCCGCTGCCGGGCGCCGAGTACGACAGGTTCATTATGTTTTCCAGTTCCTGCTGGCGCTCGCGCTCCGTCATGCCCTGTCTGCGCTCGACGTTCACGCGCGTGTCGCCGCGCTCCGTGCTCATTGCTGCCGCGAGGCGTTTGACGCGGTACTCGCGCTCCGCGATGGCCCGTTCCTTCAGCCTCGTTGCTGATACCTTGTTCGTGCTGCTGCCGATAGTTTCTTCCTCCCCTTCTTCCTCGCGGCGCGCTTTCCTCGCTTCGGCGGCCTTGATGTGCTTCCTGCCCGTCATGTGTGACTTGTAGACGTTTTCGTTCTTGAACTCCTTTTCGCAGTCGTCGCACCAGATGGCGTCTGCTGAACTGGTCTCCCGTGCGGTACCATTCGCGCCGCCGCCACTCGTCTCCTTTTGCCAGCCCGGGACCTCATCCTTTTCCCACGCCGCCTCAAAGTCGCCATCGAATCCCAGAAACACCTTGTCGAGGTTCTCGAGCGGCCGCGTGCGACGCATAAAGGACTCGAGGTACGACGCCAGCTCGCCGACGTATTTGAAATACTGATCCGTCAGCTTGTCGCCGCGCTTCAGGCCGCCGTACCCGGGCGTAAAGTTGTCAAAGACCTCGAGGTACTGCAGGTACGACAGGCGCTTCACGTTGGGAAGGTTGAGATAGGCCTCGTGGGCGGTGTGCAGGTCAAAGAAGCGGCCGAAGCCTTCCTCGCCAGTAAACAGGCGGTCGACAATGTAGGGCATGACGTCGCCGTCGTCGGGCTTCTTGACGCGGTATCGCACCTCCGAGTTCTCGGCCTGTTCGTTTGGGTATTTAGCGTGGTGCTCGCGCGCCGTCTTGAGCTGGCTGTAGAACTCGTCAAAGGGGTCGCCGGTGCCGATGGTCTGGATCTCGCGACTGCGCGAGCCGTCGACGTCGCGGTAGATGTCGAGGAGCTTGACGGACTGGGATTGGATCTGGTCGAGGAGCTGGCCGATTTCGTGGTCGCGGTTCAGGCGGTCGCGGATGTGTTTTGGTTCTTCGCTGATGCGGTCTGCAATGCCCTGCTCGAGGCGCTCGAGGTCCTCGTGGAGGTAGCGCTGCTCTTCGATTACGCCCATTGTGTCGTCGTTCGCCGCCGTCGCGCGCGATGAATATCCAAGGGGGGAAGGGGGCTGAGCTGGGCTAGACTGTAGCCGATTTCGGGGTCAGGGTAGAGGCTGAGAGGACGAGGCTCTAGAAAAATCGATATCGCAGCCTTTCTGGACGCACGTTTGCTGGTGAGCGGTCCACCGAATAAGGTCGCGTTAGCTTTGGGTTTTTTGCGATGGCAAGCTGCTCGGGGCACTCAGCACACTGTGGAACAATTGATACCCTGTGAAAAGGTCAACAAGATTCTCACAGTGTCGGCGGATGTGATTTTCCGTCCCGGCTTTTGCAGTGGATGGAAGACATCCTTCCAGCGCTAGATACAGGCAGTGGCCACTGACATGCAGTCGCGCTGTAGAAGCTTCAGCGCGCCCCTCTAAAATTTCCATCGATCTGCTTGCATCGTCCGCCTGCAAATCCACCACCACCACACACACATCATCGCGACACGTTGTCTAAGCAGCACCATCACCCGCCACACCACCGAATTAAACCATCATCATGGCGGAAGGAAGCGGAATCGATCGCAAGGCGGAGGAGAGGATGGAGTTTTCGACCTCCAAGGAAGTGACGGTTCACCCGACCTTTGAGTCCATGTCCCTCAAGGGTAAGGCTGCCCAGTATTATCACTGCACTTGATGCCATGGAACTGGCGCTTACTGACATCCCGTCCTCAGAGAACCTCCTCCGCGGCATCTACGCTTATGGCTACGAATCCCCCTCGGCCGTGCAGTCCCGCGCCATTGTCCAGGTCTGCAAGGGTCGCGACACCATCGCCCAGGCTCAGTCCGGTACGGGTAAGACGGCCACCTTCTCGATCAGCATGCTCCAGGTTATCGACACGGCGGTGCGCGAGACCCAGGCCCTCGTCCTCTCTCCGACGCGCGAACTCGCGACCCAGATTCAGTCCGTCGTCATGGCTCTCGGCGACTACATGAACGTCCAGTGCCACGCCTGCATCGGTGGCACCAACGTGGGCGAGGATATCCGCAAGCTCGACTACGGCCAGCACATCGTCTCCGGCACCCCTGGCCGTGTCGCCGATATGATCCGTCGCCGTCATCTCCGTACACGTCACATCAAGATGCTCGTTCTCGACGAGGCCGACGAGCTTCTCAACCGCGGTTTCCGCGAGCAGATCTACGACGTCTACCGATACCTGCCCCCTGCGACGCAGGTCGTCGTCGTCAGCGCTACCCTCCCGTACGATGTACTCGACATGACGACCAAGTTTATGACCGATCCCGTTCGTATCCTGGTCAAGCGTGACGAGTTGACACTCGAAGGATTGAAGCAGTACTTCATCGCCGTCGAAAAGGAGGACTGGAAGTTTGATACCCTTTGCGATCTTTACGACACCCTGACCATTACCCAGGCCGTTATTTTCTGCAACACCCGCAGAAAGGTCGACTGGTTGACGGACAAGATGCGCGAGGCCAACTTCACCGTCAGCAGTATGCACGGCGACATGCCGCAAAAGGAGCGCGACAGCATTATGCAGGACTTCCGCCAGGGCAACAGCCGTGTGCTCATCTCTACCGATGTGTGGGCGCGTGGTATCGACGTGCAGCAGGTCAGTTTGGTCATCAACTACGACCTGCCGAGTAACCGTGAGAACTACATCCACCGTATCGGTCGCAGTGGTCGCTTTGGACGTAAGGGTGTTGCCATCAACTTCGTTACTAGCGAGGATGTGCGCATTCTGCGGGACATTGAGTGTGAGTACTTGTCTCCAAGTTGTCAAGCGTTAAGATGCTAATTACGATAATAGTGTACTACTCTACCCAGATCGATGAGATGCCCATGAACGTGGCCGATCTCATCTCTTAAGCAAATGGTTGTTAGAAGACCCAAAATGCTCAGATCCTGTGCCAGCAGACGGCAAGGATAATGAAATGAGGCAGACGAAAAGGTCGTCATGCCAATGAGACTGTGGAGGAAGGGGGCTTGATTTAACAGCAGGTGAGCAAGATACAGCCCGTCTTGGAAGACTATGCATGATTGACTTACACATCCCTCAAAGTGAAAAATCTAGATTGTCAGTCAATGATAGGATTGCGGGCGAAGAAAGGCGTCACAAAACAAGGAAGTGGATTGATGGCTTTGGGAAAATGTCATTATTCGTAGTACTATGAACAGCCGCGCTCTGTGCCGAATGGGTATACAACACACGATACCCTCCCACGCATGTTTCTTTTTGCCGTTCCAACGCCATTTGAAATATGTGAAGCTGGTACTGCAGGACAGCTCAGTGGTTTTCTGTTGCTTGGTCGGCTGTGGTTGTGCTGGCGAATCATAAAAGTATTCGCTGCCAAAATGTCCTCCCCATCACTCCCCATGAACGCCTTGCCATTTCCTTGTTATACATGTTATTCATTAGATCCGGTTCTCGGGCATCGGCGCAGAGCTGAAGCGCATGGACCGCACGGTCTGAGCGTACCGCAGCATCGACCCGCGCGTCTTTGCGCCCTGCGGCGGCTGAAGCCTCGACTTCCTTACGAGCGTGGACGGCCACCGCAACGGCGCGCCGGCATCGACTTCCGCTAGCCGGAACTCGTCGCGGCTGCCTCGGCTGTCGCCCCGAACGCTGCTCCGCGCCAGCGGCTTCATCGCCGTCAACACGTCGATGTGCTCCTCATGCTCTGTCGCCTCTTCGTAGGGGGAGAACTTGAGGTCGTCTAGGCTGGCAAAGGTGTCCCTCTGCACGCGTGGGCGGTTCGATTTGGTGCCGATGGTTAGGGGACGCTGGTAGTGCATCTCCGGGTCGCCGTGGGAGAAGTTCTTTTCCCACTCCTCGCGGCGGGCAGCGTCTGCCGCCGCCGCGGCGTAGGCGCTGTAGGAGCTGTACATGATACCGCCCCCGGTGGTGTTGCCGCCGGTAGCAGAGGCCATGAAGCGGGGGAAGAGGCGGCAAAGTAGAGGCTTGAGGGTGGTGAGGCAGGCTGTTACGATGGCAGCGTGGACCTCGACGCAGGTCAAGTTTGCGATGCGGACGGCGGACCAGGTTACGTCCATTACTTGAAGGGGGGTCTCGTCTGTGTGGAAAAGACGGACGAGACGAACTATTGAGATTGCGCAGACGAGAAACGCGAGGCAGAAGACGATGTATAACCCTGTCTTCTGCCGGCGGGGGAGACGCATGGTGTGGATGACGGGCAGAGGTAGGAGGAAGATGAGAAAGTCGGTGGCCAGGTGAAGGCAGGCGTTGCCCCAGAAGACGGAGATGGGGTGGCAGTAGACGGGCGGGTTAAGAGGGTCGTAGTCCCAGGCGGAGTGGAGTGGCACGCAGGTGGTGAGGATGCTGGCGATGATCCAGGCGTGGGAGAGGACGACGACGCCGAGGAGGATCTTGCCGAGGAGACGGATGGAGTCGTAGGTGAGGATGCGGATGTAGAGAAGGAGGATGGAGATCTTGGTCAGGGTGAGGCTGACGGAGTAGAAGAGATTTGTGAATATGCCTGCTTCGATGTAGGCGGCGAAGGAGGGGTAGGAGTAGTAGAGATGTTGGCCGAGGCCAAAGTTGAGTTCTGTTGGGTGTTAGTTCTGTTTTCGTTCCTCTACTGACAGTAAGTTCTACTTACGAGTGATCATGCCTCCACTGGTGGCGATGGCAAAGATGAGAGAGGCAAGGATGGTCCAGTCTTCCCACTTGACGGAGCGCAGGATCCTGGCGCGGGTGTAGAAGCGCATAGCAACAAAAGCGGTGGCCACAACGGCCGAGAGGACGGCCACGGGCACGACGGAGGCGCCATTCCACTCGTTCGGGTCGGGTCTCGGGAGGATGAGCCAGGGCGGGATCGTGGTGTTTGCTGCTACGGTTGTTGTCGCTGCTGCTGCTGCTGAGGCAGAGGTAGAGGCTGAGTTGGAGACATAAGGGATGATGGAGCGGTCAACCAGGTAGGGGAGGTTGCCGGTGGCCCGGGGCGGCATATTTGCGTTCAGGAGCGGTTTGCCGTAGGGGCTGGATTTGATGCGAGATGTTTTTATTTATGAGTACATTGTTGGTTGAGTTGGTGAAGAGCGGTTCTGAGCGGCGTTTGATGAGTTGTTTGTATGAGTTGAGAGAGATTGAGTGAGAGACGTTGATGTTTCGAGGTAAGATGTTGGATTATTGCTGTGATATCGATTCGTACGCCACCGGTGGCTCGCACTTGGAGATAACCCGTCGACCAATGCGAGATCTAGCTCGTCATTGCTAATGTCGATATCAAGAAGAGATGCTGAGATCCAAAAGACGACAAAAGAAACGATCGAAATGTCTCAAGGGGGGAGACGAAATGGCGGGTCACTCAACCTTATACCAGCAGGGCCATCCAACCACCAACACCAAACAGCCCCTGTTGATCTCGACCAGGCCCCATGGAGGAGACGAGGCAGACTGAGAGTGAAGGGGGCCGGGGAGAGAGGAGAGAGACAGACAGAGTGGGAGACAAGAAGTGGCCGCGATGTGGCCGCGCACCGGGCCAGGGGTTGATGAACCAGGGGTGGAGGAGTGGATCAGAATCTGTGACGGGCGACAGACGTAGGAACCCATGTACTTTCTTCCTCTCACTGTGAGAGCACCCCCCGTTGGTGGCCGCATTCTGGTCTCTGCGGCCTTGGAAGCCGCCGGCAGCCCCAGATTTACGGGAGAGTGTCCCGCTGGACGGGGGTGGAAGAGGGACAGAGCATTGGTTGGATTTGGATAGCCGGCCCATGAACCAATATGGCCGCGGCTGAAGTGGTTGCAGGCGCCGGACGGTGGAGAGAGCACACCAGGGCACGGAGATTTTGTGTATGATGACTGGTCACTGGCCACTTCTCTCAAGGGTGTTTGGCAGGGGGTTGTAATGATGGGTGCCGGTTTGGTTACATGTTTGTGGTCGTGGTGCCATGTCCGGGCCGTGATCATGGATGAGGGCAGCAGATCTTTCAGTCTGGACTAGTCTGTATTGATGCGAGCGATTGGTGCGTTGAGTGAAGTGGTGACCGATGAGGAGGCCTGGAGGATGTTCTCGCCCTCCCCATATTGGAGGACTGAGTATGAGCATCGCCGAGAGTTATTGGGCGGGTATATGTGCCGAGGTGATCGCACGGATACACCAGTATTTTCTCATTTTCTTCCCAATTGCGGACAAACTCAAGCAACGCTGATGATTCACAAAGGACTAGTTCGTAGACCGGAAAGACTAGACATTCTCACCGACGGGCCATGAAGTTGGGACGCGTCAGACGGGCGGCAACGACAACAACTTTGTTGTCGTCTATGGCGAGGTCCATCCTAGGAAAGACAGTGAAGATAGTTTCCCAGGCATTTGGGTCGAAGCCAAGACCAGATCAGCAGAGTTACGGTATTCGAGCCAGACAGTAGGTGTAAAGACTGTAGAGAAAAGTTACGGAGGGCAGGTATGAGACCACTCGGCCGGAGAGTGTGCCTCTCGGACCATTTTTTGAGATGGGCCTAGGGGTGATAATGGCCTTGCGTGGTGAGAGCGTTTCAGCTCCGGCCTGCGATCCACAGGGTCCGACATGGGGGAGGCATCGAAGAGGAGGGTATATAGAGTCGTCGGTTCAGTTGATCTTGTCTGCCCTACCTGTCTTGGGCTCTACTGTTACGCTCGGGTCGTCTGGCAGGCCTGAAATACATTTGACTTTGAGCCGCAGTGAGACGGGCACAGGTCAAGCAAGAGGACGTGGATGGTGTGCCGATGAGAAAGTGTGTGTTCGTGCCAATATCAGGCGAAGGGACGGAAAATACAGTGAATGGTGGAGGTTAATGAGTGAGAGAGTGAGTGTGTGGATTTCAGGTCAGATGAGCGAGCGAGTGAGTAACGAGTGCTTGAGTGAGGGGGCCCCCGATGAGTGAGTGAGTTCAAGGTGAAGGGTGAGGGAGGACCTTGCCAGCCAGAGGTGAGACACTGCCGAATTTACCTGAAGAAAAGACAAGCGACAGGCGAGACACTGTGCAACCAGGGGTCTCCCCCCCTTCTTTGGGCTGTCTCGGGACGCATCTGGCTGCGATGCCCCTGAAGCTAAGCGACCGACGCGGACGAGGCTCCGGGCGGGGTGCTCACTCACGCTTTTGAACTACGGATAGGTGGGCTGCACCTGTATGCATTCTTCCCTTCCTGGGGCTCTGCAGGTCGGTTCGGGAGGATTGCAGCAACCCACCGACCAAAAATAACGCGGCGATGGCCTCAGCTCAGTGGGTGATTTGGTAAGCACCGTACGTACTACGTACCGTATTCGTACCTTGTACCTGCCTTATCTTAATCACAACGGAAGGAGCAGATGATCACTCACGAGAGTCACAGTTGCTAACTAATGTGCAAATCTTCATTTTCTCTCTTCTCCCTCAGTTTGCCTCTTCAATTCTCATCTCTTCATCTTTTCCTCTTTCGGGCCCCTCTCCAATAAGCTTCCGAATAAGGTAACTCACGGCACAAGCGACATGAAGATTGCCCACTGAAACTTTCCGCCTCGTATTCTGCTTCACACCTTGGCTTACCTTATTGCTGCTAGCTTCACGATTTACAGTTGCCGCTACGCTTGGCTGAGTCCTGCCATTGCGACTTCCACACAGACAACGCCGTCTCATCGACGCGTCTCTGCGAGCTTAATTCTCTATCATGTAGACTAATGCAGTTAATGGAGGTGCGTGAGCGTCCGGATACGGTGCCATCCAAGGCGTCTAGAACATGTCCCCCAAAACTCTCGCGGCTTTCTGCTCGGTAAAACTCGCCCAACATTGGTTGCCATTGAATGCTGTTAGTGACAGACTAGTGAACAGTCACGACTCACAACCCTCACCCATGTCGGTTCTGCCGACTAAGACTGGCTGACGGAGGGACCGCCAGGGGATCGGTGCTCATCTGTCCCAAACCATCTCTCACACGCCAGCCGCAGAGAATTGATGAACCGCTTACGTGCTGCTGGCTGCTGTCACGGGGTCACTGCCGCCTAGCAACCATGGCTGTGGAGGAGGAGACAAGCCTATTCAGCCACTCTTCTACGACGTCCTCAGAATTCTGTGGATGGAAACGGGATCTACTACCCATAGATTCGCTTGACGCTAGCCGACGTCTCCCTCCAACACAAGGACTGTTGCAAGAACAAATCGCCATCGGTGAAAAGTGCCCGGCTTCGATGGGAGATGGACTTTGACCTCTTCCTATTCCACAATGGTGCAGAAACGAGAAACGACCCGAGCAGAACAAAACCTCACGTCAAGGCGCCAATACCACCTCGTATAGTACCGCTCAAAGCTTCAACGTGGCCGCCGGACCAATGCCAAAACGGCATCTCCCATCTAACGACAAAGAAGAAAGGCCCATAGCGATGACTCGAGGAACGTACCAAAGACCCTCAGAGGCCCGTTGAAACGCGCGCGTCTGGCGTCAAGCCTACGTCGCAAGAAGTCTGGATCGCCCGTCTGAACCACTCGACTCAAGGTCTGCGTATGATCCACGCGTTGCCGAACGGCAAAATGATTCGATGCCTAGCCAGCCGGCCGAGTTAAGCTTGGAGGGTATTAGGACGGGGACGGCTGCGACAGTCAGCAGCGCCTATGCGTCGGGGCCTTTGCCGACTGACTAGTCGACAGGAAACAGGTCCTTCTATGCAGAGAAGAAGAGAAGAAGGAAGATCATCTGGCCGACCATTCTCAGGGTCTGGATGCAACGCCCGTGCCATGTCTGACCGGCAGATGCGACGGTCTCGAGATTGGCTCTGAACTCTAAAGAGAACCGATGGGAGGGTCCAGTATCAGAAGTCTCGTGCTGGGCCACTGTTGACGACCTCGTCTGATCTATGCCTCAACCCCTAAGTGGGGATAAAGTCTACTTGATACAGGCACAGCTGAAAGATGCTCGGGAGCAACTCCCGAGCCACGATAGGGCAGAGTGAAACCGCCTCTTCCTCTTTTCTGGGGAGAATCATTGTTTTGACTGCTACGGTAACCTCTTCCCGTGTAGGAAAAAGAGTCCATCGTCGTTTAATTGTCATACCAAAGCTCAAGAGCACGACCATCCAGAGAAACAGGTCGTTTGGTTCCGGAAACAAACAATCTTCATGAGCTGTAATCCGCCTTCAAAGCGGCAATAGCTTCGGCACGCAGGGCCTCCCGTCTGCTTTGACTCTGGGGGTCAAAGTACGGCCTCTCCCCGAGACTCACGGCACGAGACCCTTGTCTCTCCCCGAGGTCATCCACGATGTAGTCCGGCGTCGCGGCGTGGTAGGCCGAGCGGTTGTCCCAGATGGCGACGTCGTTGGGGTTCTGCCAGCGGTGCCGCACCTGCAGGTCGTGGTTCTCGATGATGAGCTGCACGAACCAGTCGAGGAAGTGCTTCGACTCCTCGTCCGACAGGCCGTTGATCTTTTGGACGTGGAGGCCGACGGCGAAGACGCTCTTCCAGCCCGTCACCGGATTCGTGCGGATTACCGGGTGGATGGCCTCCAGGAGCTCGCCCACGTTTTCGGGCGCGCCGCGCGGTTCCGAGTAGAGTTTGAAGCCGTTTTTCTCTGCGGTTGCGTTGAAACCTGGTTGGGCGTACGTGGCTGTCATGCCGTCGAAGAACTTTTGGAGCGGCTTCGATATTCGGTCGTATACTTCATAGCCCGAGGCCCAGAGCGTGTCTATGTTTGGTCAGTACAAGTGTACACCAAAGTTGGCGGCGAAAGCTCGAAAGTGCTCACCTCCTCCCGTCTTGGGCAGCTGTGTTAGACGAAGAAGCGCATAGTCACTCGGCACGGGCTCAAACGTGATATCGGAATGCCACTGTGACCTCTGCGTCTGCTTCTTGGTGTAGTTTAGGAAGCGGTGTATGCCCAGCCGCTTGGCCTGCGCCGACGAGATGACGCTGATCTCATCATCATTGGTGTCGCCGCGGCCGGCATTGTTGACGGGGTGAATGTGGAGCTTCGAAGTCGAGGGCTTCCCGGATAGCTCGCCGAGACGTTGGACGAGTTCCTTTTGGAGGTCGTTGTCGATGTTGTCTTGCTTGCGGAAGAATACGACACCGCGCTGCGAGACTGTGGTACTTGTGTCAGTATGGGAGATGAGTATGTCGGTGAAGGCCCGGCTCACTGGTGATTGCTAGGTCACGAAGGAGTTCATCAGAGTTGGGCGCACGCAGCAGCTCTTTGAGATCGAGAGTCGGGTACTCGCGGCCGATGACGGGCGTCACTTCGAAATGCTCGAACTGGTCGAGAACCCCCGTCGTCTTGAGAGGTTCCTTGTGGCCTATCCGTACTTCTGGGAGCTCCTCATCCAGGGGCGGAAAGTCGTCTGCGTATACTGCCTCCTTGACTTGTTCCTTCGCTGGGGGGTCTTTCTCCTTGAGATCCTCGATCTGCTTGGCGGCAGCTGTCTCTGTTGCGGATGGTGCCATTTCTGAATGTCTTCTGGCGCTAAAGAAGGAAGTTTGTTTACTGCGACTTCGACACTTGGACACTTTCTATCGCGGGGTCGAAGAGGGGTCTTGGACACGTCTTATACGCCCTTCCGATATCGATCACCACACCACCACCGCGCGGGCCGTGAAAAAGGCGAAAGTTTGCGCGACATCACACCATATGCAACTCGGATCCTCTAATTGGGTTGACGGTATGCATGCGGGGGTCAGCAGGATTCCAGAGGAAAGACGGGACGACCACCGGTAGAAACGGGCAAATGGCGGGTCGCCGGAGCTCGGCGGCACATGTCGAGGCCGAATCGGAGCCGTGTGTTGCCCTCCCCTCGTCCGGTGTGCCCATTTCTCTATGCCGTTTGGGGTAGCTTTCTGTCTTGGCTTCGGTGTCGATGGGCGGGGTAGACCAATAAGATCTGGGCGGCGTCGACATTTGGAGCGAGATGGTTTGTGGAGATGGGATGAGTTGGAGGTTGCATTGCCTGTGGCTGAACAAATCGGCGCCGTTGTGGTATTCATCGCGAGGCTTCAGTTCTTCAGATGAAGCTTGTGCCAAGGATAACGTGCCATGCGCGATCTTATGGGAGCTTCATTTGGAGTATCTCAGGTGAGAGAGAAAGGGCTGAGCTTGACCGGAGGAGGCTTTAGACAATAACGGGACCATTGAGGGAGGACTAAGGTCGCATTGCAAATGACATTAAATTCATTGGGCTCAATCGAGCACCCTATCAAATATGATGCCAGTTGCGCAATTGCATCTTAACCGAGCTGAGTTGATAATTCGAAATTGAGTAAAGCAAGCACAACATCTTACAGCGGTTGACGGAACGCCTGGCATTGTCCTACATCGGCTCCGGTCTTGGTCGTGGGCACCGTTCCTCACAGCCTGATATTTCAATCAGTCCAGGGTGAGCAGGCATGGCAGCAGCCGACGTCTATTAATTCGACAGTGACAGCAGTCTTATCATGAAAGAAACGAACCCTTATGACAATGACTGATGACATGCTAATCACTGAAGGCGGGTTTACAATTTACGATGACGGAGACGGGGAGAGACTAAGCGTCGATCCACGACTGCCCGCCGACGTCATCGACCTGTCACCGATGTCATTGCTCTAGAGCTCTTGAGCTTTCTGCAACAGACTACTTTGCGACACGGAATTTCCCTGTGAATAACTACAGTCGCGAAACTCTGACTTTTCAGACACTCATTGCACTTCTAGTATTGTAAATCTTACCTTGCCCGAAGAATCATCTCACCTTGGACCGGAGAAGCCAAGATGTCACCCTCAGCACCACCCCAACCCCCAACATCAGAAGCCTACAAGGCACCCTCGAATCCGACAACTCGCAACCCCGCCGAAAACGCAGCAGCACACAATGCCTCCGATCGCGAGACTGCCGCGCGCGATGCAGCGCTAGGCCGCACGCCCTTCCCGCAATCCCAGTCCCGCTCCGTCGACGAGGCGACGCCGAGTTCGCTGGGCGCGGGCGTACACTCCTCCGGCCCCGTGGACGAGACGGAGCGGCGGAATACCGCGTACGTGTCTGAGGGCGGCAGCAGCAGAGAGCTGGAGAACCCCAACGTCGAGGCTGAGCAGATGGCGACGCTTGCGGAGGGCAAGGTTGCTGACGCGGTGGAGAGGAAGAGTGGTACGCAAAAGGTGCCGGGGCAAGAGATAGTTAATGAGGAATTTGGGAGTGGGATTGAGGAGTGAGTATGCCCTTCATTAGTCATGGACGGTGAAACACGTGAGCCAAGTTACTGATTATTAACCTATTGAAAAGGAAGAAGAAGGAACAACAAGAGGCGAGAGATGCGATCAAGAAGGCAAGGAGCGAAGGGGTGGATGTCGATGGTATTGGGAAATCATGAAAGCATATATAAGGGACGCTGCGATGTAAAGAAAGCATCACCTACTTGCCGCCTAGACAACTACAACACCGTGCCATGTTTGTGTTACGTTAGATGATCATCTAAAAAGCAAATTTAACGCATGTCTTCAGTATAGTAGTTGCAGAGACATTTCAACCAAAAAACCAAAAGAGTTGTTCTCCCCTTCCAGAATCGAACTAGAGACCTTTCGATGACAATGTAACCATTACAGTCGAACGTGATGAACCAACTACACCAAGGGGAGGATCGGAGCTATTGCTCCGCTCGGTGTTGAAAATTGGGGGGACCGGTAGACCTAAGTAGCTTCAACTCCAGAGCGGGGTTCTCTCCACATCAAATTCAATTCGAGTTGTCCTTCAGTTGTGATACGCCATCAGGTGTTTTCTCAGCAATCAAGAAATCTTCTCCTCTCTCCAGTGTTAAAAACTAGTCGACGAAAGAATAGAGTTTGCAGTTCCGGAGTTATTACTATAGACTGGCAGAAGAGAGTACTTCAACAGGGCCCATAACTACAGGGTTGCTCAACACCCTCAAGAGGCGGCACCATCACTCTTGTAGCAAAGCATCTCTCTCGGGTGGTTATCTCTACTCTCTGCCATGTTCCTAATCATTCGAGCAACTTCAGCGGAACTTGTGGGGGTTCAAGTGGAATCAGCGATTGTCTCCTTGCTCTCTTACTAATATCATGGCTTCTGTCTCCGCCCGCATGCATGCGGCTGTGTCTGGCGGGGTTCTCAAACCCGCTTGCGAGCATCGTGAGCATCCCACAGCGGCATCAAGTGTCGCATCCCATCCAGGGCGTTTAGCTCAGTGGTAGAGCGCCCGCTTTGCATTCACCTAGTGTCTGCGGGAGGCCCAGGGTTCAATCCCCTGATCGTCCAGAACAACTTCACCACAACTCGTGATGATCATTCTTTTGCTTTTTTGATGTGGTTGTATTTTGTTTTCACTGTGAGATGATGTTTAGGTAACTCTGTGCTGTCGGTGGGGTTGTCCCTGTTCTCCCCGTCCAGGCTCAAGAGTCAAAAGTCTCGTGCAACCATCCCGACATATCCTCTCCAAACACAACCGGGTTCTCAAGAAGAGCCCAATGGCCGCCTTCCCTCGTGATACTCTTGACATCCGGCAGCACGCCAGCAGCTATGCTCTGCTGAAGCAACTCAGGTCTGCACACATAGTCCTGCTCCCCGCCCCAATAGAGCACCGGCACCCGAATTGTCTTCGCCTCCTCACTCAACATCCTCTCTGACTTGTCCTGGATCCCAGAGCCCGTCACAGTGTAAACACACCTTGGTGCAGCAAACCCGCCGTCTCTGCCGTAGCGCTCTATGAAGTCGGCTTTGTGTTCCGATGTGGCGAAGGGTAATGTTGGCTGCGTGCGGTCGTGGGTGATGAAGTCACGCATCTTGCCGGGCGTGCACCAGTTCTCAAGCCAGGTTTGCGGGTCGCCGAACGTGACGCTATATACAGACTCGAGGTTCTGATTCATGAGGTCTACCGAGTCCTCGGCGAGAAAAAAGTGCCAGTACTCAAAGATGCCGACACCAAATACCTTTCTCGTCATCTCGTTGACTGTTTCGAGATCAAAGTGGCCAGTGGGCGGCATGTAAGGGACGTTCAACGTGACGAGACCGCAGATGCGATCGGGGTGAAAGTTGTATAGCCGCTGAGCGATGAGACAGCCCCAGTCATGGCCGAGGGAGATGACTTTGGTTAAGCCCTCCGCGTCGAGAATCCCGACAGCGTCGGCTGCAAGACGGTGCCATGCGTAGTCTTCTGGGTCGGTGGGCTTCGAGGTATCACCGAAGCCGAGGTTATCTAGTGCCACGACGCCGTAGCCATTTGGGACGAGGTAGTTGTTGATGAGGCCGGCCCAGAGACGCGCCGTGTCAGGCCAGCCGTGAAAGAGGAGGAGGGTAACCTTGGAGTTGCGAGCGGGCGAAGTGTAGTAGGTGTAGGTGAAGCCGCGAGAGACGTCGAGCGTCTTCTTGGCCAGCGCTGAAAGGTTCAGAGCTGCCATTTCGGAATTGAAGATGGGGTCTCTTAGGTCTAGCTTGACCAAATGAGGTCGCCATCAAAAACGAAATGAAGATGATTTATCTGGGGAGCCTCTTCAGAGTATAGCTAGCTCAAGCAAGACTCCATCACCCAGTCCCTGTGGGCCAGATTTCAAAGCTTCACTCTTGGTGTGGTGCCACTGGGCGGCCTACTGATCCAAGCCAAGGGCACAAATCTCACGCCGAGGGCGTCACGTTGCCATTGAAAATGAACTGTAAGCACTATCGACCTTCAAATACCGTCGAATTTGAAGCTGTTCTGTCACACAACTCCATACTTGCATCGGGTTGCAGCATTGATGGCTCGATTGAAGCCCTCATGAGCCAACAGCCTACGAGCGGGGCATGTTACGCTGGGTCTATGGCCGGTGACTCAGCCGGCAGACTGAAATGAGATTGAACCAAACGTTCTGGCATGTTGAGCGTAGCTCTGCGTCTCAATGCGGAAATCAAAAATTTGTAAAGTCTTTCTCTCTCGGAGTCATCTTGGTCAAAGACAGTTAATCGTATGCATCACCACTACTGTTTGTGCCCCAATCTACCAAGAACAAGTTTCACATTTCAAAAGGATGGGATCATATCTTGATGTGGCCCCATTCAATGTGGTCTCTCGAGATGAATGATGGTGAGAGTGAGATGAGATGAGATGAGATGACTTTCGGTGAGAGCAACAGGTGATGAGGTAAGCTCAAATGAGGATGGGCCTGGGCGCGATGCTCACACAGAAACGACCCCGCACCACTCACACCGGGTTCCACAACTTTAGTCACAACAACACCCGGCGCCGCCTCCAACTGCGGGACGGACATCATTGGTTTCCCCATCACACGCCGGCGATATGACGAATTGGAAGTCCGGAGCTTGCTTTATGCTGGCCGCGGGCCGGGCCGTTGCTGCCGGACTCGGTCTGCAACATCTGGCGGGCCACGAGGCTTGGAACGCGCTGCAGTCGGCTGCCCGGGTGGAGTCAGAGTCTCAGGTGGAAATCGCCTCGGCTGCTTTTGCGGAGCAGTACCCCGAGTACAACCTCTCTGTTCCTATTGACCACTTTCACAACGACTCGCGATACGAGCCGCACTCGGACGAGTATTTTGACCTCCGCTACTGGTTCGATGCGAAGCACTATCGCAAGGGAGGCCCTGTCATCATCCTCGCGGCCGGGGAGACGGACGCTAAGGAGCGTCTGCCGTTCCTCGACCACGGCATCCTTTCCATCCTTGCCAAGGCCACCGGTGGCGTCGGTGTCGTTCTTGAACATCGCTACTATGGCAAGAGTTTCCCTGTGCCCGACCTCAGCACCAAGAACCTCCGCTTCTTAAGCACCGATCAGGCCCTCGCCGATACGGCCTACTTCGCGAAGCACATTAGCTTCCCTGGTCACGAGGACTTGAACCTTACCGCGCCTGACACGCCCTACCTTGCTTATGGAGGCTCGTACGCTGGAGCCTTTGCGGCCTTCCTGAGAAAGCTCTATCCCG